GGTATGGCCGTGGAAGGGGCAGAGGACGAGGAGGAGGCAGATTTGGCAGCAACAACTTCAATGGAGGCCGCGGGAGTGGCGGATACGGCAGCGACAACAAGAGCTACGGACACGGTCGCGGCCGATTCGACGGCGAGTGGCACTATTGTCAGAAGAGCGGACATATGTGGCGCGATTGCTACAAGCTCCCTCATGGATGGACTCCTGCTCAAGGCCAAGATGGTAGAGGAGCAGGGGGAGGGAGAGGAAGAGGCCGTGGAGGCCGTGGCGATCACGGAGGTAGTGGTGCAAGTATGAAGAGTGCCGGCAACGAGAGCGAGTCGAGGGACGATCGCTTTCCGGGTCAATTCTTCTTCGTGTCCACACAAGCACCGGCTGGTCCAGAGAAGGATGAAGGCTTTGAGGAGCCAGCAGCTGTGGGGAATGTCACCCTACACTCACTGGACTATTGGGTGATCGATAGCGGCACTACCTATAGCATGACACCTCGTGCGGACTTGCTCACGGAACTCGAACCGTCACCGGTGAAGCATGTCACATCGGCGTTGGGGCAGCGAGCAGAGGTGAAAGGCATGGGCAAGGCCATGATCAAGGGTGCTGATGGGAAGATGGTGGGCCTCAAGAACGTGCTTTGGGTGCCAAACCTTGCTGCCAACCTGATTTCCGTGAGGTGGTTGCAAAAGGCCGGCATGGACACGAGCTCGAAGGGAACTAAGACCTACACCTCGAGGCTTGGCGAGCGAATTCTTTGTGACCTTCACGAGGATAGGGATTTCTACAACGAGATGTGGCACATCCCTGTGGTCCCCATGCCTAAGGAGAGGCAAGTGGCAGCAAGCATCATCACCAAGGGTGAAGCGGTTGGTAGCGGCGATGGCGCGAACGGTCGCGCTAAGGAGATCGAGTCAAAGAAGTGCAAACTTGGAGGGACCAGCAAGCTCGATGAACACAAGGAGAGTGGTGCAGCAGTCAAGAAGCAGCACAAGGATGAGGAGAACCCCAAGGCAGCAGCAGAGGAGGAGTACGGAGAGAACATGTGGGGCACTATTGCGAGTGCGGCATTCTCCAATCCGACTTCGGCTACGGGAGAGTGTGATTGGCTCACCTTGCATCGGCGAATGGGGCATGTGGCCCTGCCCATCTTGCAGCAGCTAGTGAAGAATGAGATGGTTGCTGGCATACGTGTGAAGGGGGAGCCCGATGAGGTACTTGGCTGCCCGACGTGCATGCAAGCCAAGTTCACCCGTTACCCGTTCTCTAGTTCGGAGGCAACGGCTAAGGCACCACTTGATGAGGTGGTGATGGACGTGGTGGCCCCCCTGAAGCTTGGAGCTGCTAGAGCTGAGTAATTTCTCACCATTGTGGACGTCTACACTCGCATGACTTGGGTGTACGTGCTGTCCAAGAAGAGTGACGTGGCTGAAACGGTGAAGACCGATTGGTTGCCGATGGTGGAGCCGCAACAAGACCGGTTAGTGAAGGCAATTCGCACCGATCGAGGGGGAGAGTTCCTGAGCAAGGAGTTCTCATTGTGGCTGAAGAAGAATGGCATAAGGCACTCCCTTACCATGCCATACTCCCCTGCAATGAACGGCATCGCCGAGCGAGCGAACCGCACAATCACGGAGACGGCGCGCGGGTTGCTCATTGAAACCGGGCTACCCGACTACTTCTGGCCTGATGCGGTGCGGAGTGCGTGTGTGGCCAAGAACAGAGCTTTGACTCATGTGGGAGCAGACAAATGGGTGCCCTATGTGGATTGGATTGGAAGGAAGCCAAAGGTGGATATGCTTCGGGTGTTCGGGTGCATGTGCATGGCGCTCGTGCCTAAGCATCTTCGGCACAACAAGCTCGGTGCCAAGGCGATATGGGCTGTGCACTTGAGCATGGCTCAAAACAGCAAGGGGTGGCTTCTTTGGGACCCATTCACCAAGAAATTCTTGGTGAGCAGGGACTGCAAATTCATGGAGAACCTGATGTGTAAGGATTGGAAGGCGGAGAATGAGGCGAAGATAGGCGTGCGGTTTGGGGAGGTGAAGAGTTCCGGTTTGGAGCATGTGGAGCTGCCCTTGGAGCTGAGCAGCAGCAGCACCACCACAAGGCAATCTTCCCTTGTGAATGGGGGAGAGGAGGCCAAGGATGCAGAGGAAGAGGAGGAGGAGGTGCAGCAAGTGAGCGAGCGTGCACCGACACTTCCTTCTCGCACTACGAGTGCTCCACGGATCCGAGTCACTCCGCAGCAACGCCAAGGCCTTCATGTTCCTGCAGATGAGGAGGAAGGAAGGGGAAAGAGGAGAATTCAAGCCCCTAATAGGCTGACCTATGATGCATTGGGAAAGCCAGCCAAGTCAGCTCTGGCCGGAGCGGCACTTATAGTTGGAGATGACGAGGAGAGTGACTACGTCGAGTGTGCCTTCGCGTTCTTCTCTCCGGTGGAGATGCCCGGGGAACCAGCAACTCTCAAGGAGGCCTTGGAGAGTAGTGATGCTGAGGAGTGGAAGAAGGCAATGGAGAGTGAGCTGAAGAGCATTGAGGAGAATGGCACGTGGGAATTGGTGGAGCTACCGGATGGGCGTAAGGCGATTACGTCCAAGTGGCTCTTCAAGATCAAGTCCGACGCCGACGGCAAAATCGAGCGCTACAAGTCCAAGCTTCTGGCCAAGGGGTACCAGCAGAAGGAGGTGGACTATAAGGAGTTGTTTGCTCCTGTGGTGAAGCTGACGACGCTGAGAACCCATCTCGCGGGTCCTACCATCAAAGGATGGGTGGTGAAACAAATGGACGTGACAACCGCGTTCCTCAACGGCATTCTCGAAGAAGAGATTTTCATGGCGCAGCCAGAGGAGTTTGATGATGGTAGTGGCAGAGTGTGGAAGCTAAAGAAGGCGCTCTATGGGCTCAAGCAAGCCCCTAGGAAGTGGTACTTGAAGCTGCGTGAAGATCCCTAAGTCTTGTCGAACATTCCAGAAGCACCTCTTGTCGAACATCAAATTTGACTTTCCGTCGAAGAACAAATGTTTTGCCGCTATATTTGAAGTGTTGTCGAAGGCGATACACCCTTTTAATGCCAAATAGGGCGCTATCGAAGACAAGAAATCGCAGAACTTAAGTATAAACACCATGTTGAAGGACGAGGTGTTGTCGAAAAAAACAAACAAACAAACAAACCCTCTCGACGGAAAGCGGTGAGCGGAAATACCCTTTCCATCGAAAACCTGAAGTTGTGCAGAGAAGTAGCACATGTAGAGTGATTTTTACTTGCTTTAATTGATACATAAGTGAGTTGTAACTTGATATGAGTTCGCAATGTCGGTCGAGCAGCACTCGATAAAATTCCCGAAATTGAAACAGTACGGCTAACATATATATGCGCATAAGAATCCGACACTGAACCCGCGGGATTTCGCGGTTTTTTTCGGTGGGTCAGGAGGGAAATTCTGACTGACCCGTGGGATTCCGCGGGTTTTTCGGTTTGGCCCGATTTCCCTCCGTGCCAGGGCGGGCGGGCGGCATCTGATGACGTCACCCATCTCTATATAAGTGGGAAGATATCTGCAAGATCCCTCCGGAAACCCCCTTTTGCCCCCGCGGGTTTTCCCTAGAGGGATTTCCGTTTTCCCGCAGTCGCCTAGCGGCGCACGCGAGGGGCGGGAGCCGACCCCCCCCCACCCCCCTTCCCCACCCCCCGCTCGAAAATGGGGACCCCCCGCTGGCGCTAGCTGCTGATGACGCCAGCGAAACGCGCCCTCGACCTGGCAGTGGTCCCCCCCAACCGAACCAAACCCCACCCTCGGTTCGTAGACGGGTTCCGTCTGGTAACCCACGGAACCCTCGCCGGGCGTCGCCTCGCCGACGGAACCCGTCCGCGAATTTTCGCGAGCGGACGGAAGCGATGCCCATCTGCACCGCGATCCACCGCTCTCGCCCTCGATGGGCCCATTTCGTTTGGCACTCGTCCCTGGTGACGTGTCGAACGCCCCCTCTCGCTCCTTAAAAGGGGCCTTTCAGCTACATGCAAGGCGCCCCACCTCATGCAACCAACCACGAAATTTCACGTCGAGGCCAATAGGGCCCCGCCGCCCTCTGCGAAAAGCTCCTCCTCCCGCCGTCGTGGAACGCGCCCTGCCTCGTCGCCCTTGCATCCGAGTCTGTGTCGGTGGGGGGGATGGCAAACAGCTAATACCCTGAGTGCGTTCTCATTTTGTTGCTCTCTCCGAGTTTTTCTTCCCTACTCCCTAGTTCCCAACTTCCCTGCTCTCCCACCCTCCCTACTACTAGGCTTGCCATGGCTACGGGCCCCGCCTCCCTACCCATCATGAACGAGCTGATGGTTCGACGCGGCCTCATCCTAACCGTAGGCGGGATCAAGGTGGAGGTGTTTGAAGACCAGTTAAATACGTGTAGCAAGGCGCCGAGGACGGAGCCTGTTTGTGGTATCGCGCCCCGACGATCTTCTGGCTCCGAGGCACCGTGGCTGTCGAACTCGAATGATGCACTTCGATTCAAAAGACAGGTTTCCCGCGGTGAACCACCAATCTTCGCTGGTGCATGAAGTTCTCGTGTGAGTGACCGATTTGCCACCCTGCTGTCGACTTGCCGTTCTCGACAATCTCTTACTCTCCTGTCCGTTGCTTTGCAGTTGGATGAAGCAGAAGCTTCGCGCCGAGTACGCGATGACCCAGCGGGTTGTGACTGAGCACGAGCAGGGGGTGCTGGCTGACATCGACCGGCATATGGACATGATCAGGAGTTTTGATCGTATGGTAAGCCAACCCTTACCCTTACTCGTGCATGTTTTCGTCGAGCATGTTGTTCTGTCGCTTACGTGTGTTTTGTACCCATCGCAGACGATGACGGCCCTGTCGAGCCCTAATGAAGCCGGCGCGGGAGCTCGTGTCGTGTATGGGGTGTGGCGGATTCTGTCGAACTGGGACAATTTCATCCTGCAACCTCGACAGGGCGAGCTCGTGAGTCTCGGGAGAATGAGCCCTGGCCCCCAGATGCTTCCGTCGTTCATGGCCAAGTTGTTTTGGAAAAGGATGGGCGAGGTGGCGGAGGGAGTAGGAGTAGGAGGGGGTGCCGAACACGAGAGAGGGGGTGAGGGGACGGCACGTGTCCTCCTTGAGTATGAATACGAGGAGGAGGAGGAGATCGAGGAGGATACATCGAGGCAAGCTCAGCACGGGGTGAGCGGCCCGGGCGGCAATGAGAACGAGCACGAGGGCTCGAGCTCCGGCTCGAGCTCGAGCAATGAGTTGGTCGAGCACGACGGCGAGGGCGCAGGAGAACATCCAGGTGGGACGGAGCGTATGGAGGAGCACGAAGTGGCGCTCGGGGAGCGGGTGGACGCGCGGGTGAAGCATATGGAGCAGGATTCGACGTTTGACAATGGGGCTGTCGAGGAACAGGAGGGCGGAGCGGCTGCGCAGGAGGGTGGGGCAGGAGTGCAGCAGCAGGAGGGCGGGGCGGCTGTACAGGATTTTGGGACAGGAGTGTAGCAGCAGGAGGGCGGGGTGGCTGCGCAGGAGGGTGGGGTCGGAGGGCAGCAGCAGGAGGGTGTGGCGGCTGCGCATGAGGGTGGGGCGGGAGGGCAGGAGCAGGAGGGCGGGGAGGCTACGCAGAAATGTCATCGAGGAGATGAGCGACATGTCACAGTAAGACGGAGACACCGCACGGCCAGTGGCAGCGGACAGGTGGGCCCTTCGACGGCAGGCCATTCGACATCGACCATTGCATCCGGAGGCCAGGTCGTCGAGCTAATGCAGAGGGTCGTGGAGGTCAAGGCGCCGCAGAAGAAGCTCGTCGCCGACGTATTTGCGAAGCACAGTGAGCAAGCCGCTGTTTTCAACAAGCTTGCTAGGGAAATTCGGACGGCCTGGAGTATGATTTCGGAGTCGTCGAAGAGCACGCTGAAGCAGTGCGACGATGCCGTAAACGATGTCATGGAGGAGAGGAAGTTGTTGGAAGGGGCGCGCATGAAGCTCGACGAGATGAGCGAGAAAATCATCGAGGGGGTGGCAGCCGCTATCACAAAAGCGAGCGAGGACATCGTCGAGAAGCAGCTCAAGCTTGTCGAGGAGCGGTTGGTTGCTTCGGTCGTGAAGGGTATTGACAAAGCCATCAAGGAGGACTTGTTCTACTCCACCCTCCCGCCCGAGAGCATGAAGGAGCTGAAGGACGTTGTGAGAGAAGGATGCCAAGAAGCTGAAGCTGGCAGATTGGAAGTCCTCACCGAAGCGATGGCGAGAGGGTTTCGGGGCTCGGTGGGTTCGTTGACGAGGTCGCGTCAGGAGGAGGGGGTGGCTGGTGTTCGAAGCGGGGTTGAGCGTCGAGTTCATGAGCGCTCGGTTCCTCCTTCTTCTTCAGTGGGAGGACATGTCGGCAGCCCGGTAGCATCCCCACCGTCGCATGCCCGTCATCCCGCGCCAAGTCCGTCGAGGACAACGAGGTCATGGTACTCGACCAGTCGCCCCTTCAGAAGGCCTCCGAAGCGGCACCGAAGCCTCCGCCTGATGCCTTTTCTCCGCTGCGGGACATGCTGCAGGGCCTTGGGAAAAAGGGTGGGAAAGGAGTGGTTGCGGGGGAGAAAAGTGGTGCCCCAATCGAATCCGTCGCCTCAGCCGGAGGAGCCGTGGAAAAGCGAGGTGCTTCTACCCCGTCCGGCGGCGCTGCGGGGAAAGAGCGGGGGAGAAACGAAGTGCTCCCAGCCAGGTCATCGTCGCTGCTGGGTTGCTGTCGAAGACAAAGGCCGACTCAGCTGCGCAGCTTGGTATTGTTGGCCGTCCTGTCGAGCATGTGGGAAAGAGGCCGTCATCCGTGCTAGGCGAAGTCTGCCTTAGCGAACCGGGTTCCCCTCCTCTTGGTCCGAGGCCAAGGTCCCCTTCTACGTCGAAGAAAAGGCAGGCTGTGACGAAGTCGACAAAACGTGCTGTAGAGGCGACAGAGAGCAGTGACGTGGTCGAGCTGGGCAGCCTCCTTGGCCAAGCTCATGTCGAGAAGGCGTCTATCGTCGTTGCTGCTCGACACGAAAAGTTGAAGAAGCCCAAGGTGATCGGCTACGCCCCACCTCCTCCGCCGGGCGACCAAGGCAAGAAGAGAGGCTGCAAAGCTCCCTTCAAAGGACCGAGCATGATGTCGGAGAAGGGGAAGCCAGTTTCCGAGCAAACCGTAGGAGGGAGGAAGCGGTTCCTGGGCACTTTTGAAACGGAGTCGGACCAAAAGTTCTGTACAGCCATCTGATGGCGCGTGTACTTCCCCGACATAGACCTTAAGGAGTACGAGGGGTTCATGGCGTAGGATGAGAAGGACTGGAAGGTCTATCTCGATGCAGCCGCTGGTATGCCCACCGGCGTTTGGAGCATGGCGCAAGAACAAGGGGAATGTCGTTTCGAAGAGTGAATTCTGTCGAAGTCCTGTAGTTTGACTGTCATAGCAGTTTTGTTCTTTCCGTCGAAGTGCTGTCGTATTTCCTGTCAAAGTCGTATCGTCTGACCAACGCATTTGTTTCGATTTGCAGTTTCTAGTCGCTGCTGGCAACGGCAAATACGGAAGTGAGAGCCGGAACCGACTGGGGAATTGCGCTGTGCGCGGCGATTGGGAAGGTTGCGACGCTTGGCCAGAAGCACGGGAACCTGAATTATCCGGTCCCAAAAAAACATGCACGGGACTGCGCACATGATGGCCATCGCAGCAACAGTGGCAAGCTTGTGGGTGGCCTGCAGGAAGGAGGGAAGATATTAAGAAGGATGCCCTAGCTGCCGCAAACGCAGCTCTCTACGCCCCGAAGATGGTGACACGGGCTAGTGCAGCTGCCATGGCCGCGCTCGTGTCCGTACTTTTGCACGTCGGCAAGACGTTCTCGGCCAAGCAGTGGCCCGATATGCTATATTTGTCGGCCGTCGAAGGCCTCGGCTCGACTGATGCCATCCTGTTGCAGATGGTGCGCATGGCAGCACAGGTCTGTACGCAATGGTGCTGCTGTCGATTTGCTGCCCGTTTGCTGGAGGACGCAGGCCATGGGAGCCTGGCTATGCCAGAAGAAAAGAGCAAGGCGAAGCTGGGCGATGAGGATGCTACAGAGGCGGAAACAGGCGGGCAAGGGGAGTAGTATAGGCGGGCGCATTGCGTGGGGGTTTTTGCATAATTCGACAGATGTGTTAGTTGTTTCGAGAGATGTTTCGACCTAATGTGTTTTGGCTTCATTGCTTTGACATGATGTTTTCGATAATGCTCAATTGGTTCATCTTGTCGAGATGTTTTCACAACAAGCATAAGGGGGAAATGCCATGTAAACCCTGAAAGAACAACCTACACTAGGTTCCCCCCGCATCACGGTTGCCCATCGAACTAGGCCGCGCGCCAGTTGTTCCCGTGAACTCTTGCCATTTCTCCTTGCCGAACACCTTCTCCGCCCATTCTGCGGTTCGGAGCTTGATACGAATGAGCTCCAGAGTGATTCTGAGGCGTTGTTTGTCCTTCCGGTTTTCCTCTGCAGACTCGACTTTGCGCTTTTTCGTGAGCTGCCTCCCAGAATCCTCCTTGAGAACGATGCCCTCCGAAAGCATGTTGATCGAGTGGTCCTTCACAATTGAGTCCAGATTTTCGATGACCGTCGACGTAGCTGCGCTGCAGTCGTCGATCCGGAAATGCTCGACGGCCTTCATGACAGCCTCCATTTTCCGCAATTTTGTCTCGATAGCTTTTGCGGTTGGTGGATTTTCTTTTGGCTGGGCCTCCTTTTCGGGGGTTACAGGGGGTGGAGTCGCACCACGGCCACACCACCGCGTCGAAGAATGCCTGGTCGAGATGGCTGCCCACACTCTATCGAGAGGGCGTTGCTTGTTGGGCTTGCTGTGGAGCCGGGGTGGCTTCCTCGGTCACCGTCTGCGGCACGCTCTCGCTCTCCCCCACATTTACAGCTGCGCTTGTCGCCGCGGTATTCTTCAGTGCGTCGAACGATTTATGTAGTTGCGCGAACGCCTCTGTCTTCGCCTCCAACTCTGCCTTCATCGAGCTCTTCTCCCGCTCCAATGACTCGACCTGCTTCTCGAGGTGGTTGATCTGGATTTATTTTTTCCCTTCCTGCTCCTTGTGGAGGTTGATCTCGGCCTGAAGTTGCGTGAAGAGGTGCTTGGTGTTGAGTTGAGAGGATACGTCCTGTGCAGTCAGTGGGCTAATGCAAAGTCGTCGCTTATAGTTTCGGATGGACCATCTTACCGTCGCTCTCGACATCGTGGGGTTGGTCCGCATTTCGATGCCGTACTTGTTGAGCGTGTACACGTCGAGCGCCCATTTTCGGAAATCTTCGTCCTTGCACAAACCCGACATCTGGGTGTAAGGGTGACGCTCGAAGCTCACCCCGTTGAAGGGGTGGTCCTCACAATGGACGTAGTACATCGCAAGATCCGGCCTCCAAGAAACTCATTGCTGCGTTGTACATATGTTCCTTGTCCTGCTCGTTGTTCCACTCCTGGGCCTGAACATAAACGAACGGGGTGACATTGAGAGATAGACGAGCAAAACTTGCGTTCGACGATGACGCAAACTGCTCGATAGATCCATACCTCGATGAGCCACTGTTCCACGTTAGGAAAGATGTGCTCCTCGATAGCCTTCAGGACCTTCGAGGGCACTTTGTGTGAGAATGATAGACGAAAGAATGAATGAACTAGAAATGAGATGGGTACATATAGGAAACACATAAGTGTTGTACCCACTAAGAGCTACCCCACTACAGCCTAAATAGACCATAGCAGATATAAGTTTGACACACCCCCATAGGCAAAGTGGGGAGAACAAGAGGTCACAAGACCAGTCAAGAAAAGCAAAGCAAGCTCAGGGTGGATCACAAAGTCACCACACCGTCTGAGCACAAGCAAAGGGCCATAAGGCCAGTTCACATGCAGAGTTATATAAAGGAAAGTAAACAGTACAGTGAACACAACCTAGCAAGTGTAAGCATGCAGGTATAAGTATATAGAGTACAGTACAAGCAGAGTCAAGAAGTCAACAAGTGAGGCATAGTAGGTACAAGGCCTAACACAGTACAGAAACGCTGATGATCACAAGGCTGAAGTGCCTTGGTGAAGACATCAGCAGTGTTGGCCTGAGAGACCACGTAAGCAAGACGAAGCTGGCCACGCTGCTGCAACTCTCGAGCAAGGAAGTAGCGCAGAGCAATGTGCTTCGTTCTGTGCTCCAGTCTGTGCTCTTGACACAGGGCCAGCATGGCCTTGTTGTCGACGTACAGAACTGGAGGAGAACGAGGCGCCTCTCCCAAGTCGGTCAGCAGGTAGGTGAGCCAGCGAAGCTCCTGTGCAGCCATGGCCCCAGCGTAGATCTCAGCCTCACAACTGGAGCTGAGAACAGAAGAAGAGCGGGTAGACCGCCAGGAGACAGAACCGGAGCCAAGGCTGAAGGTGTAACCCTGTGACGACCGCTGCGTAGCCAAGTCGTCAACCCAGGAGGCGTCAGCGTGACCAGTGAGGACAACTCGAGCCCGTCCTCCAAGCACGAGCCCCATGCTCGATGTACTGCACAAGTATCGCAACACCCTCTTCGCAGCATCCCAGTGCACCTTTCGGTGCCTGCCGGGAGCCACGTAGCGAGCCAGAAGGCTGAGAGGGTATGCGAGGTCAGGTCGTGTGCAAGTCATCAGGTACATGAGGCAGCGCACAAGCTCTGGATACGTGCCACTCGGCTCTACGGACTCGTCCGAAGGTGGAGCTGAGAGCGAGTGACCGGTAGGCAGAGGAGTGGACTGTGGCGAGGAGTAGGTGAAGCCGAAGCGCTGAAGGACCTGCTGCACCATGTGTGACTGAGTCAAGGTAATGGTGCGCTGTGCTCTGTCCCGGGTGATCCGCAAGCCAAGATAGCTTGTCAGCTCACCCAGGTCTGTGCACGTGTGTCTCTTCTGCAGCTCGGACTTCACGTGGGCGAGTGCCTCCGTGTCAGCAGTAGCAAAGACAAGGTCGTCTACGTACACAAGAACGTAGAACGGCGGCAGAGTAGCGTCAGTGCGTAGAAACAGAGAAGGGTCAGCAGTGGAAGGAGCAAAACCAAGAGCAGCAAGAGTCGTCCTGAGCGTGTCGTGCCACTCACGGGGCGCCTGGCGGAGACCGTAGACTGGCCGCCGGAGGCTCCATTGGGTACCAGCAGGAAACGACCCAGTGAAGCCAGGTGGGCGGCGCAGCCAGATCTCCTCGTGCAGGCTGCCCTGTAGGAAGGCTGTGCTGAAGTCAAGCGAGTGGAGCTCGTAGTCACGTTGAGCAGCAACGTGCAGCAGTACCCGAAGAGTGGTCATCTTCGGGGTAGGGGAGAAGGTCTGAAAGAAGTCAACTCCCTGTTGCTGACTGAAGCCACGTGCAACGTAACGCCCCTTGAAGGCAGGCGGAGAACCCGGTGGCCGCTTCACCCTGAAGTTCCACATGCCACTGACGATGTTCGCCCCAGGTGGGGGAACCTCGTCTACGTAGGTGCCTGTGGACTTCCAGGAAGCCATCTCTGCGTCCATGGCTGCCTGCCACTAGGAGGAGTAGGGACCCTCTATCGCCTCTGCGTAAGAGCGCGGGGTCGGGATGTCTAGTGCATCCGGGTCTCCCTCAGGGGCAAGCAGCATGGACTCGAGATGAGGTGAAGCAGCAGCAAAGCACTCAAGGTCCTCCTGCCTGTCCTCAAGGACGTCCGTGCCAAGAGCACACTCACCCCCGACGAACGGAGGACAGACAGACGCAGACGCAGACTCAGCAACAAGACTAGCGGCGTAGTCTAGGCGACAGGCTGCAGCAAAGTCAACAAGCTCAGCAACAAGAGCAGACGCAGCAG